AAACCATGCTCTATTGTTTTTTCATTCATCATTCAGATGTTTAGACATTTTTGTTCACTGATGATTATGAGCTCATTTTTTCAGCCATCGCGAGGGTACATGGAGGAGGTGGTTGGGGTGGTGGCCACACTCGAGGGCATGGTCCTGCGTAGGGAGGCACAGTTGTCTGTCGCGGGCATTCAGGTACCCTTCAGTTTTCTGGCATTTATCATACTTCTGATGACATGCTGATTTCTATTGCATCGATAGACTACTTGTGTAGAGCACATCTGACACACACCCCACTTGTACACTGTATTTACATGCACCCACTTCACGTAGCCTTTGCTTGTATCTGCATCTGATGTATATATTTGGACTGATGTATTTGAATTGAACTCTTTGTTTTCAGATGCCTTCATGGTCCAGTCAGCCGCAGGCCAGGCCACCCGGGCCTCCTTGGGGAGCTGGGCCGTCTGGGCCTTTTCAGGGAGTTGGGTCATCCGGGCCTTTTCAGGGGGCTGGGCCATCTCGGCCTTCCCGAGGAGCCGGGCCATCTAGGCCTTTTCGAGGAGCTCGAGGAGGGCCTGTCCGCAGACACAGGGCTCACGTTGTAGAGGCGGAGCCTGATGAGGAGGAGGAGGAGGAGGAGGCCACCGACCGTCAATCAGAGACATCTGTTGAGGAGGGGGGCTCCGGTTTTGGCTCGGGGAATAGAGGCGAGGCTGAGGGGGATGACAGCTCTGACTCAGATGATGATGATGGTGCGGAGGTTGTCCCGCAGAAGAGGATGAGGCGTGCTTCTCGTTCCCGCTCCCGAGGACTTTGATGCTGCTATTTCCTGCTTTATTTTTCTTTTTGCTAGTAGTTTGTAGCACTTTGCACATTGTTAGGCAGTTTTATTTCTTGTAAAACTTGTACCTTTGTTTGTTGTAAAGCATGATGGAATGAAATAGCTTTTGAAAAGGTGTTTGTATTTTTAGCATCGTATCGCATCAATGTATTTCGCACAAGAATGACATTGAATGGGAATGTGCATTGTGTAATCACCGAGTCAGGCAGTGAACCGACGCAACAAACTAAACAACTCAACTTACTAAGATATAACAGAACCTTAGGAAGTTTACAACTCGATAAGCAAAACGCAACAACGTTGACAACGCAAATAAACAAGGCTTTAAACAAAGATTGCTTAAACAGAGAACAATGGCTCAAAAACACGAACACGTCCGCTCGACAAACAACTCGATAAGCAAAACAACAACTCGATAATCAAAACAACAACTCGATAAACAAAACGACAACAGAGTGCACTTCGGAGGATCTGGGCACCGGAACGCATCCGAAGCGGAGGGAAATGAAGGCCTTTGACTCTCCCGTTGCATGGAAATGCTTGGAACTCTCCCTCAAAGGGTAAAACAAGGCTGAGGAGATACACTGCAGCATAGCCAACCATCCCTGGGAGCCGGCCGGCCATTTTTGTGGAGAGAGGCAGCTGGCTGGCCAGTTTTGTAAAAAGTAAATGGCTGGCAAGCCAGAAAAGGTGGCCGGCCGGCCACTTCCTCCTGCAGCCACCAGATTTTTGACACGTGTCCCCGTGAATAGTGTTTTTCCTTCTATAAAAGCCTCAACTTCGGGAACATTCATTTCATCTTAGTTTTAGACAAAGATGGAGGCATTTCTCGCAGAAAATGTCATATCTTGGATCTCTTCTCTAGATGGCTCGGAAAAGTTGAATTTCCGGGGTTTCGGCTTGAATGCACTATTCACGCTGAGCCGTACTCCG